GTGGTGGACTCTCTCTCTCTCTCTCTCTCTGTCCAGCTCACTCGCCGCCCTGCTGCGCGAAAAATTGTGTCGCGCCTTGCTGGAGTGAGAGAGAGGGTAGAGTGTCTGCTCGCCATCAGCCTTTGCTGCTTGCTCCTCTGTCCACCATCCCCATCCCTCTATCTCTTCTATCCTCGAACGTCTGGCTCCCTCACAACCTCTTCAAGGTCGTAAGCGAGCACATCACTTCCTGGACAACCCCCACTATCGACGGAAAAGCGGTTCAATCCACCTTCCTTTTCCCGACCAACTCCTCATCCCCGCAAGGCCGACAATCGCACCACCACCGCAGAGATCGCGCGTCCCACCCCCGCCTCTCTGCTGTCCATCGCCCACTGCACGCCCAACATGTCTGGCTTCTTCCGCAAGGTCGGCGACTCCGACTCCGAATCCGACATCTCCTCTTCCGAGGAGGAGCTCTCTGAGCTCGAGTCCGGAGACGAGCAGCCAAAGACCACCACCCAGCCCGCCGCAGGTCGCTCCCGCTTCCTCAAGGGTTCCGACGATGACTCGGACTCGGACGACGACGACTCGGACGAAGAGTCGCTCGACTCGGACGACGACTCGGACGACGATGGCGCTCGCGCCGACGGCAAGAAGGCGCCCACCTCGCGCTTCATGAAGGGCGCCGCCGACTCGGACGACTCCGACTCCGAGGAAGAGGTCAAGAAGGTCGTCAAGTCCGCAAAGGACAAGCGCATCGACGACATGCAGACCATCGTACACCACATCGAGTCCGCACAAAAGTCGGGCGACTGGACCTCGATCAACAAGGACTTTGACAACCTCATGCGCTCCATCGACCGCCAGCGCACCCTCGGCGAACACATCCCCGCCTTCTTCTACAAGGCCATCTCCAACCTCGACACCTTCCTCAACGAGTCCGCCGCCAAGGAGAAGGACGCAAAGAAGAAGATGAAGGCGCCCGTCGCAAAGGCCATGAACGGCATGAAGCAGAAGCTCAAAAAGGTCATCAAGGAGAACGACGACACCATCGCTCGCTACCGCTCCGACCCCGCCGCCTTCGACGCCGCCTACGACGCCGCCAACAACGCCGCCGCCGCCCCCGCCGCCGACGCAGAGACCGCCATCGCCAAGGGCAAGAAGGAGCGCCTCGCCGCCGCACTCGACGCCGACGCCAACGACGACTTCCAGACCGTCGGCCGCGGCGGTCGCACCGAGACCTACACCTCCGAGGGCCTCTTCAAGAGCCTCGCCGCCATCATGGAGGCGCGCGGCAAGAAGAGCACCGACAAGACCGAGCAGATCCGCAAGCTCAACGACCTCTCGGGCGTCGCAGACTCGCCCTACAAAAAGATCCGCGTCATCCTCGCCCTCGTCGCCGCACGCTTCGACTACAACGCCTCCGCCACCGCATACATGCCCGTCGAGATGTGGGACTCGGCGCGCAAGGAGATCAATGAGATCCTCGCGCTCCTCACCAACAACCGCGCCTACGTCGTCCGCGAGGAGACCGATGACTACGACGACGAGGTCGAGCGCATCCCCGGCCAGGACGGCGAGAAGGACACCGTCGCCGTGCGCGGCTCCATCATCAGCTTCGTCGACCGCCTCGACGACGAGTTCACAAAGAGCCTCCAGAACATCGACCCGCACACCACCGAGTACGTCGACCGCCTCTGCGACGAGAAGAAGCTCTACGAGACCATCGTCCTCGCACAGGCCTACTTTGAGACGCAGCGCGAGTCCGACGCACTCTCCCGCTGCACCATGCGCAGGCTCGACCACATCTACGCCAAGCAGGACGTCATCATCCGCGCGCTCGAGTCCACGCTCGGCGACACCGCCAAGTCGTTTGCCTCCCAGCTCTTCCCCGCGCCTGCACGCGTCGCCGAGCAGGACGGCCCCGCGACGCTCGTGCGCGCGCTCTGCACCTACCTCTACCAGGCGCGCGGCGTCCAGGCCGAGCGCCCGCGTACGCGCGCCATGCTCTGCCACATCTACTTCCACGCGCTCCACGCCGAGTACCACGTGGCGCGCGACATGTTCCTCATGTCGCACCTCCAGGACGCCATCCAGCTCGCCGACGTCGCCACGCAGATCCTCTACAACCGCGTCGTGGTGCAGATCGGCATCTGCGCCTTCCGCAACGGCCTCATCAAGGAGTCGCAGGTGGCGCTCCAGGAGATCTTTGCCACCGGCCGCGTCAAGGAGCTGCTCGCCCAGGGCCTCCAGAAGCAGAACCAGTTCAGCACCATCACGCCCGAGCAGGAGAAGCTCGAGCGCCAGCGCCAGCTCCCCTTCCACATGCACATCAACCTCGAGCTGCTCGAGTGCATCTACCTCATCTCGTCCATGCTGCTCGAGGTGCCCAACATGGCGCTGGCGGGCAACGACCCGGAGCTGCGCAAGCGCGTCATCTCGCGCCCCTTCCGCCGCATGCTCGACTACACCGACCGCCAGGTCTTCTCGGGCCCGCCCGAGAACACGCGCGACCACATCATGCAGGCGTGCAAGGCGCTCCAGAACGGCGACTGCAACGCGTGCATCGAGCTCATCGCCGACATCAAGATCTGGAAGCTGCTGCCCGGTTCCGAGGCGGTCAAGTCCATGCTCGCCCAGCGCATCCAGGAGGTGGGGCTGAGGACGTACCTCTTCTCGTACTCGGCCTACTACGAGTCGGTGTCGCTCGCGCATCTGGCGGCGACGTTCGACGTGCAGCAGAAGCAGGTCAAGGCGATGGTGTCCAAGATGATCTACAACGACGAGCTCGCGGCGTCGCTCGACCCCAAGGCGAACGTGGTGAGCTTCCACCGCCTCGAGCTCACCAAGGTGCAGCAGCTCGCGGCGACGCTGGCGGACAAGGCCAACTCGATGCTCGAGCAGAACGAGCGTCTGCTCGACGCCAAGCTCGGCGAGGGCAAGGAGCAGAGGAGCTCCGGCGGCGACCGCGAGCGCGACGGCGGCCAGGCGGGCGGCAGGAGGGAGAGGAGAGGCGGCGCGTCCGCCCGCGGACGAGGCCGCGGCAGGGGCAGGGCACAACAGTTCCAGGCCCTCGGTCAGAAGGTCTAGTGCCCCCCGTCTTCCTCGCCCACCATTTTCTTCGTCGCTTGACACTTGTCCAACCACCCCCCAAAAGCTCCGGAGCATGCACGTCTAGGTGTGCATGTGTTATGTGTATATGAAATCTCAGGAGCATTTCTCTGATTCCCGCTCGGATCGACACTGCGTCCTCGTGCGAAGCCAGCTTTGCGCTTCTATGACTTGACGTGACTGTTTGTCGAGGCACAGGGAAGTTTCCTGCGCGTATGGGTGGGTGAGGAGGCCGTTTGCCAGTGAGCCTGCGAGCGAAAGGTCAAAGACGGTGGATGCGGAAGAAGGGGGATTAGGTTTATATCGTGCGAGAAGGGAGACTGTGGAGCTGGGCGGTGTGCGGTGTGCGGAGCGTTTCGTAGTGTGGTGGCCGGGGCATTTTTGGGCGGCGGCTTTTCGGCGCGTTTGGATAAGCGTGCATCTGCCATCCCCACACTCCGGCGACTTTTGGTGCTCTTCATCAACCCTATCGTCCTCTCTGCATTTCTATCGACAGCACAATCGACACTCCTTCGGCGGGTCGGATCTACTTAAGGGTGCCGGAAATCACAGCGTAGTATTGGACAGTACAAATGGCAGCTGCATACGTGCGGGAAAGATGATTCGATCGGCATCTGCGGTGCGAGGAGCACGAGCTTCCACCTCGAACCTCATCGTACGGGCTGATGGTGATGGATGGCCACCGGCCTGGCTCTTGCCATCGATCAAGCAGTTCTCAACAGCATCCGTCCTGTGGTCTTCGAAAGGTGCGGAGAGGTATGCGTTTCCGAGCAAGGCGAATCCTACACCCTACGAGATCTTCCACTTCCCCAAGCGCGGGGTTACATCTGCAGAAGTCAAATCGCGGTACTACGATCTCGTTCGTACACTTCATCCTGACCGCTACAACTCGGATCAGGGTAAGACAAAGTCGCAGGTCGAGGAGGAGTTCAAACAAGTTGTTCAAGCCTACAACATTCTGAAGGATAGCAAGAAGAAGCATCTGTACGATCGTGCCGGTCTAGGATGGACGCAAACCTCACCCTCCATCCCCCCCTGGCAAGATCGCCGATACACTCGACGCTATTCTCCAGGCTACCGTGGTGAAGGACACGACAGGTTCGGCTGGCAAAACCACGATTTCTACTCCAACTTCACTCGGCCCTCTGCAAGTGCAGCTGGGTGGAATGGCGGCAACGGCAAGATCACAAACGGATACTTTATCAGCGCCATCTTTGTCCTCACCTGGGTCCTCGCCGGTTTGCAATACTCGAGGCTGAGTTTGCAGAGTCAAAAAGCCATCGAAAGAGCAGACAAGCACCATCTGGACGCAGCAAAGAGCCTCCACGAAGCAAGACAAATCGCCCGCTCCGACGAGGGCAAACAGCGCTGGTTCGCCATCCGACAACGAGCAAGAGAACAGAAATTCCTCCAGGACAAAGACTCTCAGGATGACGCGGGCGCCTATGGTGTCGGGCACGGCGGTCCAAGTGGCAATTAAGCCGCCCAGGAACGCTTCCAAAAGGCTCTCCCCCCTCCAGCAATACCCTAGACCCCCGTACATTCAATGCAATCCACACTCGTGATCAATTTCGCAAAAAGGTCTGTGCATTGCCGCTCACAGCGCCGCTAGACGCGCCTGCTCCTTGTCGCGCTTGAGCTGCTCGAGGCGCTGCCGGCGCTCGGCGCGCTTGCGCTCCAGCTCGGCCTTCTTCTCCTCGCGCGACAGCGGCGCCGCGGCGGCGGGCGTGGCGGGCGACGCGCTGCGGCTGCGCTCGTCTTGCACGTCGTCCTGGTCGTCGAACGATGTCCACGTGTCATCGGGCGCCGACACGGCAATCGACGCCGGCACCGCAGAAAACGCCTGCGCCGTCAGCTCTTGTGACCCAGCTAGCTCCTGCGACGCAGCCAGCTCCGACCCCGCTGGCTCGGGCGGCGCCGCGGCGCTCTCAGCAGCCGGCGCCGACCAGCCCTCGTCTCCACCCCATGCCGCCTCCTCCTGCTGCACGGGTGCGGCCACGCGCAGACTGCTGCGCTCGATCGCATGCGTCGCATCCACCCGAGGCGTCACCGGCGCCGAACGTGCTGCCGCCGCCGCAGCCCCCGCCGCCGCCGCGCGCCGGGGCCCAAGCTTGGCCTTGGCCATCTTGGTGCGTCCGACGGCGGGCGCCTTCTTCTTGGGCTGCCCTACCTCAAAGCTCGACCAGTCGGCACTATCGTCGTTGACGTCCATGAGGTCTGTGTTGGCAGCGGCGGGCGGCGCGCTGAATGCCTGTGCGGTCGACGCCGATGGCGCATCATCGTCTAGGTCGTAGTCGAGCGCCGACTTGGCCGCGGTGGCTGAGCTCGAGGCTTCCGAGAGCCAGCTGGAAGAGTCGGCAGCCTCGGCAGCGCCCGATCCGAGCCGAAGGCTCGCAAGCCCCGACGAGGGCGGGACAGGTGCGGAGGGCGGCGTGGCGGGCGTGCCGACCGAGGTGGCCGGCGTGCTGCGCCCGTCCATCTGCGATTGCAGCTCTGCCGCCGACGAGAGCGGGCGGCCGTCGGCGACCGACGGTGCCGAGGACGAGTTGGAGAGCGACGAGAGCGCCGACGACATGGCCCAGCCCGCCAGCGCCGAGGCTGCGCTGCCGGCGGATGCAGCCATGGAGCTCGCGTAGCCGGCGCCGTTAGTGCCGTCCGTGGAGCTGCTGAAAGAGGTCGAGCTGTCGAGCTGCTCGGGGCTGAGCGCAGTGTCGGGCATGCCTGCACGGCCCGACTCGATCTTTTCAAGAAACATCTTGATGGCCTTGTCGGCTTGGTCGCGCACGAGCTTCTCCTTGTCCACCATGCACGGTGCGACGGCGGGCACCACCTGGCGCGCGCAGTCGTCGTGGTCAAACGAGTCGCCCGTGGCCATCAGTGCCATGAGACCGGCGACGCGCGCGTGCACAAACTGGTCCTTGAGGCTGCGGGAGAAGGCGGGGATGAGCACCTTTTTGCGCGTCGAGACTGAGAGGTGCGGCACGAGGCGGCCGAGCAGGATGGTGGTGTTGGTGCGGATGCCGGCTTCCGGGTCGACCTGGGTGCGGGCGAGCACGCGCAGGAGGTCGTTGTTGAGGATGCGGTCCGAGAGCTTGGGCGCGAGCGGGAGGATGGCGCGCAGCGTGGCCTCGCGGATGACGGCAACCGAG